GACACACACACACACACACACACACACAAATGGCAACTGCTCCGAGCCTCTGCTGCCAGACTGTGGCCCTCAGTAGGACATCCACTGAGGGCTCCTGGACTGAGAGAGGGGCAGGCTGGGCTGAGGGAACCTCACCCCCTGGTGCACAAATTCCGTGCACCGGACCTCTAGTCCTATCTAATAAAGAGGTAATATGCAAATTGACCATCACGCCCTCATACACAAGATGGCCATCCCCATGTGGTCACAAGATGGCTTCCCCCATGTGTCACAAAATGGCCACCCCCTTGTGATCACAAGATAGCCACACCCATGTCATCACAAGATGGCTGCCCTGACATAGTCACAAGATGGCCGCCCACATGTGGTCACAAGATAGCCATGCCCATGTCATCACAAGATGGCTGCCACAAGATGGCCTGCAGGGGAAGACAGTTGGGGGCAAACAGTCCAGCAGAGGAGGGCAATTCAGGGTCAACAGTCCAGCAATGGAGCTCAGTTGGAGGCGACCAGGCCAGCAGGGAAGGGCAGTTGGGAGTGATCAGGCCGGCAGGGGAGCAGTTAGGTGTCAATCAGACCGGCAGGGGAGTGGTTAGAGGGCAGTCAGGCTGGCAGGGGAGCAGTTAGGGTGCAATCAGGCTGGCAGGGGATAAGGGCAATCAGGCAGGCAGGCAAGTGGTTAGGAGCCAGCAGTCCCAGATTGTGAGAGGAATTGGGCCTAAACCAGCAGTTGGACATCGTCTGAGGGGTCCCAGATTGGAGAGGGTGCAGGCCGAGCTGAGGGACACCCCCCCAGTGCACGAATTTCGTGCACCGGGCTTCTAGTAATAATAATAAAAGGCTAAAATGCAAATTGACTGAACGGCAGAATGGCCGGTTGCTATGATATGCACTGGCCACATGGGGGCAGACGCTCAATGCTGGAGCTGCCCCCTGGTGGTCAGTGCACTTCCATACGGGGAGTGCCACTCAGCCAGAAGCTGGCTCATGGCTGGCCAGCTCAGAGGTGGTGGCAGGAGCCTCTCCCACTTCTGTAGCAGCATTAAGAATGTCCAACTAACAGTTTAGGCCCAATCCCTTGGGGGCCTAAGCCTTTAGTCGAACATCCTCCAAGGACTCCCTGGCTGCCAGAAGGATGTCTGACTGCAAGCTTAGGCCTGATTCCCCCCGGGAGTGGGCCTAAGTCAACAGATGGACATTCCCCAAGGGGTCCTGGACTGCAAAAGGGTGCAGGCCGGGCTGAGGGACCCCCCTCACCCTGCCCCAAAGGCACAAATTTTTGTGCACCAGGCCTCTAGTCTGTAATAATAAAAGTGTAATCTGCTAATTAGACCAGATGTCCTTCCCCATGACCTTCCAGATGAAGCCAGAGCTGCGAGAGAAGCCTGGGTCCTGGGTGCCAGATGGAAGCTGGTGGGAAGGAAGGCCTACTCTTACAGGAATTTTGTGCATCATGCCTCTAGAAAATTTATAATCCCTTACCACTTTGTCCTTGTGCGTTCCTTTTTTGGAGACCCTAACAAAACCAGTGCATATCACATGTCTGGGCTTTTAATTTCTCCAGAGTAATATTTCTTTTTGTTTTTATCCAAGGCCCTAGCAAGTTTTGCCATCAATTCCTAGGACCAGTATGCTGGCTTTTTTTTCCCCTTTACACCTTGACTTTACAGCTGTTAGAGCCCTGGGCTGAGAGATAGGAGGGAGGGGAAGGGGTGTTGGCAGTTAATTATGAACCAGGGAGAGATAGGTTTTTTACTGGTTGCAGACTGCTCTGCTGGCGTAGGGGTCTGGTCCATAACCACCTAGAGCAGGTGTCTTATTGGAACTAAACTAAATTCAAGGTCTCAAGTTTTCTGCGAGCACAATTAATCTTTCTCTGCCCCGGTTTATTCTTTTTAACCCTTCCAATATTAAATTAGACCGATACAATATACTTGAAATTACATAAGGAAAAATATATCAGTTTGTACTAGACAAGTTTCAATTTACTAGTTCGAAGTTTTATCACAGAAGGTCTAGGTACATTTTCTTGAAAGTAAAAGTACATTTAAAATGTGTTCATAAAT